CAAAGCGGGGAGCCTCGAATTGGGGGGGGGGTAGGGCTTACTGATGGCTGCGTCCTCGTCTGCAGAATGTCCCCACAGCCAGGTGCTCAGGGAATGTGCCAACACCTGTCCCCACACCTGCGCCGACCTGCGCCCACAGACACAGTGCCTCCCACAGCCCTGCCAGCCTGGATGCGCCTGCCTGCCCGGACAGGTGGGGCTGTGGAGCTGCACGGGGCTTCTGGGGATGGGGCAGCAGCCTCAGGATCCCCATCACCCACAGGTGCTGCAGGATGGTGCCTGCGTGCCCCCTGAGGAGTGCCGCTGCACGCTCGACCCCACCATGACAGGAGTGCTCAACCTGTCACGGGAGGAGCAAGAGCAGGAGCACGCACCAGGCAGCCGCCTGCAGCACCGCTGCAACACGTGGTGTGTGCCCCCAGCCCCACAGCATCACCCCACAGCAGGGGGCACTGAGCTGGGTGGTGTTGGGTGCTGGGTGGGCACTGAGCCCCTCTCTGTCTGCAGCGTTTGCATCCGTGGCACCTTCAACTGCTCGCAGGAGGAGTGCAATGGTGAGGGCAACCCATTCTCATCCCCGTGCCTGCGCTGTGATCCCTGTGCCACAGCCGGGCCTTGCTCGCTCCCTGTGCAGTGGATTGCCTGTGGTCCCCGTGGTCGCCCTGGTCCCCCTGCTCAGTGACGTGTGGGATGGGTAAGCAGCTCTCACACCGGCACCCACTGCGGCAGCGCCTCTATGAGGGGGCTGAGTGCCTGGGGCCCCCCGTGCGCCAGGCTGCCTGTCACCTCCCTGACTGCGGTGAGTGTCCCTGGAGTCCCCAGGTACGGCTGTGGCTCATCAAGCTGCTAAGCAGAGCATGGGGGAGGAGTGATGGGGTGGGTGGTGAAGGAAGGGCGCAAGCCATCACCGTGGGATGCTGAGGCTCTGGGGGTGCACGAGCACCTGGGCGGGTTTGTCCGCCACCAGCCCTGGCCACTCCGGTCTCCACATGCTGGGCTGCTGCATGGCCGGTGCTGGTGACACATCCCATGCTGCTGGCAGCCTGCCCAGAGGGGGAGCGCTGGCAGGGCCCTGCTGTGTCACCAAGCTGCGAGCAGAGCTGCAGGGACATCCTCGATGAGGCCCCTCCAAGCTGCACCCCTTCCCCATCCCCTGGCTGCACCTGTGAGCCCGGCCGCTACCGCAACAGCAGTGGCCACTGTGTGCCCTCTGCCCTCTGTGAGTGCCTGCACCAGGGGCAGCTGCACCAGGTGAGCAGGGCACAGCACCTGGGGGTGCCCGGGGGTGCCTAGAGGTGCCCCCACCTCACTGCTGAGCTCTCTCCCCCCCCAGCCTGGCAGTGAGTGGCAGGAGCAATGTGCCAGGTGCCGCTGCGTGGATGGCAAAGCCGACTGCACCGATGGCTGCACGCCGCTCTCCTGCCTCGAGGTACAACGCCACTGCCCCCCGCTGCCCTTTCCATCCTCCTCCTGCCCCCCACTGCCCCTTGGCTCCCTGATGCCTGAGGGCTGCAGCACTTTCCCTAAGAGGATGGGCTGAGGGAGCTGGGCTTGTCCAGCCTGGAGAAGAGAAGGCTGCAAGGAGACCTCATTGCATTTAAAAGTGCATTATAAACAGGAGGGGAAGCAGTTTTTTTACAAGGGTAGGCAGTGATAGGACAAGGAGGAATGGTTTTAAGCTCAAAGAAGGAAGGTTTACATCAGATGTCAGGGAGAAGCTCTTTACTATGAGTGGTGAGGTGCTGGAACAGGCTGCACAGAGAGGCTGTGGTGCTCCATCCCTGGAGGTGTTCAGAACCAGGTTGGATGGGGCCTTGAGCAAGTGTGTGTAGGGCCAGATAGAGATTGGTGGCCCTGCCTGTGGTGGGGGGGTTGGATCCCTGGGGTCCCTTCCAACCCAAGCCGTTCTATGATTCTATGATGCTGCTGTATCCACAGGGTGAGGTGAAGGTGCGGGAGCCAGGGCGCTGCTGTCCCGTCTGCAGGATGGAGTGGCCAGGTAAGGGCCTCAAGGGGAACCCCCACTGTAGCCCCTCTCCCGGGGACCCCCCTGCAGCCACCTATGGGGGCATCACTGCTCTGCCCCCCTCCCCACAGAGGAGCCATCCTCCATGTGCCGGCGCTTCACCGAGCTGCGCAACATCACCAAGGGTCCCTGCTCACTGCCCAACGTGGAGGTCAGCTTCTGCAGCGGCCGCTGCCCATCCCGCACCGCCGTCACCCCCGAGGTGGGTCTGTGGGCACCGGGTGCCGCCCCCGTTCCATGGGCACAGCACACGAAGTCAGTGCCGCGGCGCTGTGCCCACGCAGGAGCCGTACCTGCAGACGCTGTGTGAGTGCTGCAGTTACCGCCTGGACCCCGGCAGCCCCGTGCGCATCCTCAGCCTGCCCTGTGCGGGTGGCGCTGCCGAGCCTGTCGTGCTGCCCATCATCCACAGCTGCGAGTGCAGCAGCTGCCAGGGTGAGCAGGGATTGGGGCACAACCCGGCCCCTGTTGCATCCCCGGCCTCGCCTCATGCCTTGTTCTGCAGGTGGGGATTTCTCCAAGCGCTGATGCCCGGAGGGAAGCTGTCCTGCTGCGTGCCGTGGTGGTGGAGGACCCCGAGGCATCCCCCTTTCCCCTCTGTACTGCAATAAAGCTACGAGCCTCCACCTAAGCTGTTCCTTGGTGGGAGCGAGGATGGGATGGAGAGGTGGCAGGGGACAGCTGGGGACGGAGATGGCTGCACGGTGAGGGTTGGAGGGGCTCAGGGGGACCAGGGCAGGACCAGGAGAGAGCAACATGGCCAGGGGACCTTGGTGCCTCCTAGCAGCAGTGCCCTGCCATGCCGTGGTGCCCTGCCATGCTGGGGTGCCCTGCCATGCCGCAGTGCAGTGCTGTGCAGCAGTGCCTTGCTGTCCTGCGATGCCTTGCTACCCCATGGCACTGTGCTGTGCCTCAGTGCCGTGCTGAGCTGCAGCACAGCAGAGCTTTGGCTGAGCCATGGCTGGTGCTTGGGCAAGGCGCAGGAAAGCTGCCCCAGGCTCAGCCCCCACAGGACCAGAGGTTTGTTTGGGGGCGGATTCACAGACAGGGCTCAGCACTCCTCCTCATGCCCCAGAGTCACAGTGGGCTGCCACCAGCTTGGCGTGGGTGATGCAAGGAGCTTGGCATTGACAAGGACATCCTTGAACGAACTGTTGGACTCCTTAGGTGTCCAATTAGAGGGAATAACTGCAAAATCAGGAACCTTAAACTAGTTGGACAGAACGGTATGGAGATGGGAATTCAAACCCAAAAATGCTTCATCAAATGTGAGTGAAACCCACTGCAAGAGTGGTATGATGGGAGAGAACTGGATGTGCTTGAAGCTCCCATGAATTCTGAGTGATTCCTTCACAACAGAGGGATTGATGTGAGGAAAAAAGGACATACAGCACTCATTTCAGATAGTGGTGAGGCACTGGAACAGGTTGCCCAAGGAGGCTGTGGATGCCCCATCCCTGCAGGCAGTCAAGGCCAGGCTGGATGTGGCTCTGGGCAGCCTGGGCTGCTGGTTGGTGACCTGCACACAGCAGGGCTTGGAGCTGGATGAGCATCGTGCTCCTTTGCAACCATTCTATGATGATTCTATGATTCGCTGTGCACAGCTGAATATTGGAACGACTGCAGCCAGGTGATGCTGCCATTTAACTGAGTTGGATTTGCTGGATGCCAAACTGAAGTGCAGCCTGAAGAATCACATCACACAGGCGATGGTTTGGGGCACCTTTCCAACAAACGTGCAGTGATGCTTCAGACCTGGGAGCTGCGGTGGGGAATGGAGCCCTCGGGTTGCTCCTGCTTACAGAACTCGGGCGCGTCTGCAATGCGTAACAGAGCGGATGGCCTGCAGTTCACAAGCTGTGGGTGACTTCCCTTCAGGAAACCGGTTTAAACTCCTGTCTGAGCTGTGAGAGAAAGTCCTCCCTTCTGACTTTTTGAAATCGGGACCGGTGAATGTTCAAATGGGATTTTAGGAGTCCCAAGAAAGCCACCCCGAGAACCCCAAGCAGCCCTCTGCAGCCCCGTGCGCATCCTCAGCCTGCCCGGGGCTTTGCCCTTCCATTGGCTGGGACCCCGTGTCCCTCCCCTTTTCCACATTCCACAGACTTTCTTTTTCCATCTCAGTCTGCCTACGAGCTCCTTGCTCACCCAATGAGGATCTCCCTTTGCCTGATTTCTTACTCCTAGGGATGCACCGATCTTGAGCTCAGAGATTTGGTACTTGAATATCAGCCATCCCCCTCAGCGCCCCTTACCTTCCAATGCTCCAAGCCATGGGATTACCTCCAGATAAGTCCTTCAGGAGGTGAAGTTGGCTCTCCTGATGTCCAAGGTTGCAATCCTACTTTCTGCCCCGATGCTTCCAAACTCCATCTCATGTCCTCTGCGTCCCAGACTGCCCCCAACCTTCACACCCCCAACCAACCCTCCTGCGTCTGTAAGAGCAAGGTCCAGCAGCAGTGCTGCCCCTCCCCGTTGGCTCTTCCACCTCCTGCAGCAGAAAGTTACCTTCCCCTCACCCTGGGCAGGGTGAGCCTGGCAATATCGCTTGTCCAGCAAATATCAGCTGATTGAAGTCCCCCGTGACACACAGTGGTGCCCCCCACATTAGCCGGCCCTTTAATCCTCCCCCACGAGCCATGGACTCGTTCCTCACTCAACCCCAGGTGGAGCTCCATACGTTCCATTCGCTCCCACACACAGCATGTGCCTCCATGTCGCTGACTCCCGTTGTCCCACTGTCCCAATGTCCACACGTCCCGGTGTTCTCCCGCCCCGCCCCGGCTTCGCGCTTCCCCGCACCGACACCGGGGACCGCAGCTCCGCCCCAGGAGCTCCGCGGCCGCCCATCCCCGCCCACAGGCGGTCACCGTCCCGCAGAGCGCGGCCGTCCGCCGGGTGAGAGGGAGCGGAGCTGAGCCGTCGGTGCCGGAGCGGGCGGGGAGCGGAACGAGGCCGGCGCAGCTCCGCGCCCATGGCGGACCGCACCGCGGAGACGGGAGCGGCGGTTCCCTCCCGGCGTCGTACCGCCTCCGAGTCCCCCGCAAAGGCGGCCGAGCCGCGGCGGGCGGGCGGCCGCGACGGCAGCGAGTCGAAGCGAAGGGGACACGGTCCGAGAGCCGAGAGCGCCGGGCGGAGGGAAGAGGACGAGAGCGGGGACGGGGCGTGCGGGAGCACGGCGGAAAAGAAGGGGGAGCCGCGGGACGGCGCTTCAGGGGGCGGAGGTGAGCGCGGCGGCGAGTCGGGAACCACGGGGGACCGGAGAGCCGCGGGCGGCCCCGATGAGATGGCCGAGCGGTGTCCGAGAGGCCGGATCCGACCCGCAGGCGCACACCGAGCTGCGCTGCGCTGGGGTGCAGGGATGGGGTCACGGCTGCCCTCGCTCCCTTCAGGACAGGCTCCCCAACCCCTCACTCCCCAGGGTCGGGGTCCACAGCGCCCTCACTCCCCGTCAGGAGGCGTTCCCGCAGCGTTCTCCGCTTGCAGCCATAGAATCACGGTAGCTGTTGAGTCCTTAAGGTTGGGAAACACCTCTGAGGTCACCGCCTCTGACCGTCCACCTCCCACCAGCGGTGCCCGCTGACCGCGTCCTGCCGCGCCGCATCCCCGTGGTTGGGAGCCCCCGTGGGGATGCCGACCCCCGCTTCCCGGGCAGCCCGTGCCGCCGCCCGGCCGCTCTCCGGGAGTTGTTGTCCGTCCCGTCCGACCCGTGTCCCGCTGTCCCCACAGGTCGGCGGCGGGAGCTGCGCGTTGTGCTGCTGGGGCGGAGCGGAGCGGGGCGCAGCGCCACCGGCAACACGTTGCTGGGCGAGGAGCGCTTCGAGTCCCGGCTGGCGTCCCAACCCGTCACCACCACGTGCAAAGACGGCAGGCGGGATTGGGGCGAGTGGTGCGTGGTGGTCATGGACACCCCGGCGATTTTCGGGGGCTCTCAGTGCGACAAGCAGCATTTGGCCGAGGAGCGCCAGCGCTGCCTCAGATTCGCTGCCCGTGAGCCCTGCGTACTGCTGCTGGTGACACAGCTGGGCCGTTACACGCGGGAGGACCGGGAGATGCAGGCTGATGAGGTGCTGCACAGGGCTGTGAGCATCGCACTCAGGCAGCGCGAGGGGCGCCAGCGCAAACGGTGGTGGTGATGGTTGTGTTTTTTCTGTAATTAAGATCTAATCACCGTGACGAAAACCACGGGCTACTAAATAAACGAGAGTTTCCAAAACGCAAAGCTCTTGTGCTGATTCTGCAGCAGCTGTGACACACAGGGAGCAAAGGAGAGCGCTGCTGTGAGCTTTCGGTTCTGCTGTCATTGCCTCCTCCTGGAAGATGGAAATAACAAAATAAAGCGTTGTGGGAGCGCCGTGCCTTTCTGGGAGTTGTAGCTCATTCTTCGGAGCCGCCGCGTCGCCTCGTTGACTCCCATCGCTGCGTGACGCAGGGAAAGTGGAATAACGAGGAAAAAAACACGAAACCGCGACGGCTGCGCTGCTGCGGCCGGGGCCGAACGGCGCCGGGTGAGTGCGGGCACCGAGGAGCCGCCCCGCGAGCAGCCCCGGTGCCGCTCCGTGCCCGCGGCCGTCCGCCGCCCCGCTCCCCGTCGGGCCGGCAGCCCCCAGCGGAGCGCGTCGCGTCGGGGCGAGTCGGGAAGCGCCCGGCCACCCCGGAGCCCCCGGGGTTGGGCGCGGGCGCGGGCCGGCAGGGAGGACGGCGACCCCCGGGGCCGCGCGGCGCGGAGGAGCTCGGCTGGGGGACGCGGCGCTGCGGGAGCGCGGGGCGGCGCTGCGGCGGGGCGGGGCGTCCGCTCGTGCTCGGGGTGGCGACGGCACCGCGCGGCTCCGCTGCTCGGGACGGCGCGGGGGGAACCGGGTGCATTTACGGGAAAAGGCGTTTACGGTCCGCGCGGACTTCGGCCCGGCTGCCGGCGGGGCGGCCCCTCCCCGCGGAGCGACAGGCAACCCCCGGCTGCTCCCCGCGGCTCCGCGTCCCCGGCTGTTCCCGCATGGCCCGTCGTGCTCCGCCCCCTCGCATAAAAGCCGGCCGGGATCCGGCACCTCCTGCGCTCCGTTCCGTCAGGAGTCGGAGCGGTCGGCGCCGCTTCCCGCGGACGAACGGCGCCCGATCCCATCGCTGCGTGCTCGCGGTCGCCCTCTCCGTCCCCGTGCAGCCCCGGCTCAGCTCGGCCTCGGCCGGCCCACGCGCAGCAGCGATGCACAGCGACGGTGAGGGCGCGGGGGGCGGCGGGCGGTGCCCAGAACGGGACGGGGTCCGCGGGAGCGCGACGCGGGGCGGGCGGCCCCAGGGGCGTGCGGCCAGCTCCGGAGGACGCCTCACGCCCCTCCGCTCCCCCGCAGAGCCCTTCCGGCAGCCGGAGCCGAAGGGCTGCTGGATGCGGGACGACAAAGCGCCACCGGAGCTGCGGCTGCTGCTCGTCGGGAAGAGCGGCGGCGGGAGGAGCGCGACGGGGAACAGCATCCTGGGGCGGGCGGCCTTCGAGTCGCGGCTGTCCACGCGCGCGGTGACGCAGAGGAGCGAGTGGCAGAGCGGCTCGTGGAGGGGTTACCGTTTGCACGTGGTGGACACTCCGGACGCCTTCGACACGCCGGAGCGCAGCGCCCGGTGCCTCCGCGAGGTCGCCCGCTGCGCGCTGCTGTCGGCGCCGGGGCCGCACGCGCTGCTGCTGGTGACGCAGCTGGGCCGCTTCACGCAGGAGGACGAGGCGGCCATCCGGCAAGTGTGGCGGCTGTTCGGGCGCGGCGCCGCCGAGCGCACCGTCGTGGTCTTCACGCGCGGGGACGAGCTGACGGGCGGCTCCCTGCGGCGGCACGTGGAGGACATCGGCACCGCCGCGCTGCGGGAGCTGCTGCGCCCGCTACCGGAACGAGCTCTACGACCGCATGGTGCTGGGAGTGCAAGGAGTGTCTGAGTAGAGAGAGCAGCGCCCACGGGATGGGAACTGCATGCAGAAGATGGGAGCAGTGCCCACGGGGGTGGGAACTTCACACATGGGATAGGAACAGCACCCACAGGACAAGAGCAGCATCCAGGGGACAGGAGCAGCACACATCGAGTGGGAACAGCACCCATGGGATGGAAATAGTGCCCAAGGGATGGGAACCCACAAGAAGGGACCCATCGGCAGCTCTGGTGGCAGCAGGGTGGGGATGAAGTCAATCATGGGGCCCTCACTGCTGTGGTCTGAGCACTACTCACATCCCTGCAGCTGTTGGAGTGGGCGCAGAGTTTGGGGAGATCCCCGAATGTGGCATGGAGAGAGTGGAGGATATGGGGCCAGGTGTCAGCTGGGAGCAGGGATCCCAAGGGACTCAGCCCTCCTTCCCACTGCCCTGCAGGATTTCAGGGATTCGTGCCACTTTGCTGCCATGCCTGGCCCATGCAGAGGGACCCATGGCACCTCCTGTATTCCATGGCCACGTGAATCTTGCCACTGGTGTGTCGTGGGCTGTGAGGTGCTGCTGGTCCCAGAGGACACGTGTCCCTGGTGGGGTCCTGGGGCATCCCCACCCCCAAGGCAGGACCCAGCGGGCAGAGGTTGGGGGCAGGGGTGGGAGGAGAGTGCTGGGGCAAGTTGAGTTTACAACTGCAGCATCTGCTGGTGCTCAGGAAGTCGCTCTGCCCTGCACCTCAGCTTGCTTCTGTTTTCGACTCTGAGCTCATCCAGACGGCAGCCTCAGAAAGTGAAAGTGATCGTGCTGCATTCCTGCGGGGTGAGCCTGGGCTGAGCCACTCCCATTCCGAGAAGTCGCACGTTTAGCAGAAACCACGCAGTGGTGTTGGCACAGCTGTGCAGGATTTGCTGCTCCAGGTGGATGAATGCCAGGGTACGGGGCTGGATGAGGGGCTAGAAAGTGTACGAAGCAGTGCTGGAGGTGACTCTGAACTGGGAGGAGCTGTTGGCTCCCTTGAGGGCAGAGACCTTGCAGAGAGACCCTGATGGATGGGAGGGCTGGGCAATGCCTGACCACATGAAGGTGAACAAGAGCAAGGGCTGCATTCTGCACCTGGGGTTTGAGAGGGGACAGCAGCTGGCTCATTCTAACCTTTCCCTTGCGATGGGTGTGGGTTGTAGTACATAATTAGCCCTTAAAGAGCCAAACGGACAATCACAGGATGCTGCCTTCTCTTCTTGTTGACTATGGTCCTACGGTCCCTCTTGGCCCTGCAGCTCCTCACAGGGAGCGGAAAGGCAGCGCTGAGCTCTGCTCCCTGGTGATGTTGGCAGCACCCGAGGGAACAGCATGGAGCTGTCAGGTCGGGTGGGAGTGAGGGAAAGGCTGTACCCAGAGGGCGGTGAGCATGGAGCAGCTCCTCAGGGTAGCAGGCACAGCCCTGAGCTGCTGGGGCTCGTGGTGCTCAGCACTCTCAGACATAAGGCTGGGGTTTGGGTGCTGTTCTCTGAGGCCAGGGGTTGGATCAGCTGATCCTTATGGGCCCAATATTTCAACTCAGGATATAGCCAGAATGTAGAGGCAACCTCAGGACATCGCAGTCACAGCATGCCTGGGGCTGGAAGAGACTTCAGAGGAAATCCTGTTCCCTGTCCCGGCTGTCAATCTGACGTGGGCTGTCAACCTCCCATGGGCACACCCGTGGGTCCTCTGATGATCTGCATTATTGCTTATTACAGCCAATCTGCTCGCGGGGGCAGCGCCACGGGGCAGAGGCGGTGCTGGTTGGGGCGATATCGGAACCAGACGGGGCCGCTGCGTCAGTGCCGCACTTCTCACTGCCGGTCCGACGGCTCGGGCTGACGGGAGGCTGCAGCGTCCGTGCCTGGAGGAGCGCAAAGAAAGGGTGAATGTCGCACGGAGCGTCACCGCGCGGGGCAGCGCCGGGGGGGGGGAGCGGGAGGAGCCGCGATCGCTGCGCCTCCAGGCGGTGCGCGGCCCCGCGGGGTCCCGGCTGTGCCGGGCGGGGTGAGACCGGAGCTGCGGGAAGGTACGGCGGGGGGCCGGGGGGACTCCGTGCCTCCGGGAGGGGCTGCGGTGCCCGGGAGCCGAGGCAGGGGGAGAGGGGCAGGGAGCGGCTCTGTCCCTCGTCCCTTCTTCCCGTTTCCCCTTGTCCCTTTTTTCCCTGCTGCCCGTTCCCCTCTTCTCCCTTTTACACCTTTTTCTCCGTCCACTCTTTTTTCCCTTCTTCTTTTTTCCCTTTTCCCTTCTCCCCTTATCCTCCCCTCCCTACATCCCTTGTCTCCTTTCTCTGTTTCCTCTCCCCGTTTTTCTGCTCCCTTTCTCCTCTCCCTGTCTCCCTTCTCCCCACTCCCCACGCTCACAGGAGCACAGCACAGACCTGACCCCGTCCATCAGGACAGCCACAGCCCCGGCATGGGGTGACCCTCGGCACTGCATTCAGCTCCACGCCAACCCCAGCTGCACGCGTGTCACTGCCCAGAGGGGTCCGTCACCTCCCAAGGGGGTTCCTGTCACCACCCAGAGGGGTCCCTTACACCTCCTGGGGGGTCCCTGTCACCACACCACCGTGCCCCTGCACCCTGGGCTGTCGCTGTCCCTCTGCTCTGTGCCACCCCAGCACGTGGCGTCACGCCTCTCTTTCTCCTCTGTCCTTTCTCTGCTGCTCTCCGAACCCTGCTGGAGCTGTCTGTGCTGCAGCATTACCGGCTGGGCAGCTGATGGAGCCCTGCACCTCCGCTTGTGTCCCTGCAGCACAACCACGGCCACTCGACGCATCCCTGTGCTGCCTGGGGACGGCAGAGGCTCCACAATGCGGCTGCTGCTGGTCGGGAAGACTGGAGGGGGGCGAAGCGCCACGGGGAACACCATCCTGGGGCGGTGCGTCTTCGAGTCCAAGCTGTCCACCAGACCGGTGACCCACAGCTGCCAGTCAGCGATTGTGCACTGGGATGGAGAGGAAATCGTGGTGGTCGACACGGCCGACATCTTCCATTCGTGGAATGGCAGCAATGAGGAGTGCAGGGAAATCACCCGCTGCATCGAGCTGTCCTCGCCCGGCCCCCACGTGCTGCTGTTGGTCACCCAGCTGGGCCGCTTCACCCAGGAGGACCAGGAGGCCGTGCGGGGCGTGCAGGACATCTTTGGAGTCGGTGTGTTCAAGCACATGGTTGTTGTGTTCACCCGGGGAGAGGAGCTGGTGGGGGGATCGCTGCGTGACTACGTGACCTACACTGACAACGCGGCTCTGCGCAGGCTGATCCAGAGCTGCCAGAATCGGTACTGCGGCATCAACAACCGGGCTTCCGGGCCACAGCGGGACCAGCAGGTCCAGCAGCTGATGAATATGATCCGCCAAACCATGCGGGAGAATGAGGGAAGGTGGTACAGCAATGAGTTGTACCTGAATCCCTATTTAACAGAAGAGAAAGTGAGGTATCACATGGAGAATGCAGCCAAACCATGGGGCAGGCTGCTCAACTTGTCATACAGGGGAGTCCTTTTAAAATGTGGGATAGTTCTCATTGTCATCGCTTTGATTGTCATCGGTGTCCTTATTTGGTGGGAGAGATAATCGGGTGAATCCCATAATGCACAGTCCCCCACTATCAGAATCCCAGAACCCTGAAGCACTTGGGGCCGCAGGCACCGCTCCATCCCCACCCGCCGCCATCCCCCAGCACCCGCTGCCCAGGGCTGCGTCCCTTTGGCTGTTGCACCTCTGCAGGGACAGAGAGCCCACCGTCATGCAGGGCCACGAGGGGCTGCAGGGCCATGAACTGTCGACAAGAAGTGTCCTGTAAGTGTCCCTTGTGTTCCCTGTGGGTTAATTACACACTAAAACCAACACCCATCTCTGCGGAAAGGTGATCAGAAACAGCCAGCTGCTATCCCCTCCCAAATGCAGTCTTGGAACCCCTTGTATGCCTGCCCAAAGATGTATCAAAATACCCAATTAGAGACTGTAGAGAGATGTAATTTTGTAAACTGTCATGTAAGGATAACTGCACTTCTGTTTGGGGCTGTGCTTGCTTTGGGAAGGATCACCAGACACCTGATTGTGACAGAAATAAAACAGAGACCTCTGTCTGCATCCCAGCTCTGTGTTTATGTCCTATGGGCACAGACCCCATTAGGGATAACAGCTTCGTTCTTACTATTATTCAGCTCACCTCCAAGTCATGGATCCGGGCACTGAAGAGGACACTGAAGGGAATGGGAGACTGAGTTGGTGATACACACTGGGGGTGTAAGGGTGGAGCACAGCCCTATGGAAAAGGACCTGGGGACCTGGAGGGGCAGCAGCACGAGGCAGCACTGTGCCCCGTGCCAGCCAACAGCACCTTGGGTGCACCCAGAGCTGTGCGGCCAGCAGGGAGAGGGAGGGGGTCTGCACCTCTGCTCTGTGCTGGGAGACCTCACCTGGAGTGCTGTGTCTGGATGGGGAGGGCTCAGTGCAGGAGGGACGTGGAGCTGTCGGAGAACATCCAGAGGAGGGCACAAAGTGACCCCAGGGATGGGACACCTCCCTGCAAGGACAGGCTGAGAGCTGGGAGGCTGCAGGGAGGGCTGAGTGAGGCTTCAGTACCTACAGGGGCTGTAAGAGGGAAGGGGACAGAGTCTGTAGCGGGGTCTGGGTGATAGGACAAGAGGAAATGAACAAAAAGAGCAGAGGATTAGATGGATATAAGGAAGAAGCTTTGTACAGTGAGAGCAGTGAGGCACTGAACATCTTTCAGTGAGGAGTGGTGGCGTCCCATCCCTGCAGACACCCACAGTCAGGATGGGCTCTGAGCGCTGCTGGAGCTGCGGGTGTCCCTGCGCATTGCAGGCAGTGGGACCAGATGGCCTTCAGAGCTCCCTTGCACTCAAACCACCCTGTGACTCTATGAGAAGATCTCTCCGTTTTCCCTTCTGCAGTTGAACAGCCACGGGGCTCTCAGCCTTGCCTCAAAGGGCCCATTTCCTCCAGGCCCCCAACCATCTGTGCACCCTGTGCTGGGAGGGCAGAGCTCAGGGCCGTGCAGTGCTGGGGCTGTGCTGCCCTGTGGGTGCCCCCGAGCCAGGCAGCGCCCTGCCCCACCTGCAGACACACGGGATGAGGCAGTAGGTCCACAAACAGACTTTCCCGTAACTGCACTCAGCTCGGGGAAGTGCAGAGAACGAAAGTGAAAGCAATACTTGGCAGAGAGGACCTTGGCTCTTGCACAGAGCAGCTCCCCCTAGCACCGAACAGCCACCCGCCAGGACACCCAGAACACCCTGCATGCCCCACAGCCTCGTGCATTGTCCCTCTGCATCCCATCCGTGTGTGCCATGTAAAGAGTTCGTGAAGGATCACATGGGGAGGTACAGAGCTGGCAGGGAAGGAAGGAATTCTGCTGACTTCCCCATCTGTGCCATGTCCACCACATGCTGGGGCTTCACTCCCCCCCCCCCACCCTTACAGCTCCATGCCTTTCCCTTGGGCACTGTCACTGTCACCAGAGAGCAGGGCTCAGTGATGCCCCTCTACTCCCTGTGATGATCTGCAGGGCCATGGGGGCTGCAGGGCCAGCACGAGGACTGACAGAAAAAAGGAGTGAACCCAATGGATGTGTTGTCTCAAAAGGAGGAACTGTAGTCCACCAAGGTGAAACGCAGAAAGAGATGACCGCAAACATTCAAAGAATGTGTGAAAAAGAAACTCTTCGGCCTCAGGGTGCTGCTGTCAAAAAGAAGGAAAGGGAAAGTGTCCTTTGAGTGTCTGTGGTGTTCCTGAAGGGATAATTACCGACTGCAAACCACCTCCATTGCTGTGGAAGGGAGATTAGAATAAGACAGCTGCTATCCTGTCTCAAATACAGGTGTATAGCCATAATGTGCCTGCCCAGCAAAGATCAGTCAGAAGACCCAATCAGAAGCTGTAATTGGAGAAAATTTGATAAACAGCCATGTAAAGATAACAACACTCCTGTTTGGAGGTGTGTGCTTGCTTTGTTAGGGATTGCCAAGCGCCTGATTCTGTGTAGAACAAAAAGAGGATGGGGATAACAAGGCGCACAGTGTGGTGCGTGCTCTTGTTGTATTTCACGTCTCCATTCTGCCATGCTGAGCTGTGGCAGTGCCCAGCCCCACCTGAAGGCACACAGGGTGAGGCCGAAGGCTGCACAGAATCCTGTTCCTGTAAACACACCGCATTCCAGGCACTGCAGAAAACGAAACTGAGAGCGCAGGGAGGCAGAGCCTCAGCTCTGCACCAAGGGTCCTCACACTGAAGAACCGATTTCAGAGATTTACAGAATCATAGAGTTGTTTGAGTTGGAAGGGACCCTTAAAAGTTATCTGGTCCCACTCCCTGTGATGCACAGGGACACCCACAGCTCCATCAGTGCTCACAGCCCATCCCCTAACTGTGGGTGTCTGCAGGGATGGGGCACCACCACCTCTCAGTGCAACCTGTGCAGTGCCTCACTGCCCTTAGTGTATGAATTTCTTCCTTATATCAATCGAAATCTCCCCTCTTTTAGATTGAAGCCATTTCCCCTTGTCCTACCATACTGATCCTCCTATAGAATCAGTCTCCTTCCTTCTTACAGCCCCTTCAGATACTGAAGGCTGCTCTCAGCCCTCCCTGCAGCCTTCCCTTCTCCAGCTGCTCAGCCCCAGCTCTCAGCCTGTCCTCATCAGGAGGTGTAGGGAGGCGGATCACTGCTCAGCCTCTGCAGGTCCCTCTGATGGCGTCCCATCCCTCAGGTGCGTCCATTGCACCGCACAGCTCGGTGTCACCCACACTGTGAGGGTGCACTCAGTGCACTGCTGACTGATGGAGATGGGAAAGAGCTCAGATCCCAGCACTGAGGGACACCGCTGTCACTGCTCTCCATCCAGACGTGGAGCTGCTGACCGCAGCTCTGGGTGCATCTCACAGCAGTGCCTCATCCACTGAAAGGACCCCCCATCAAACCCACATCTTTCCCATCTGGAGAGAAGGATGCTGTGGGAGACTGCGTCAAAGGCCTCACTGAAATCCAGAGAGGTGATGCCTGCAGCTCTTCCCTCATCCACTGCCACAGTGACGCCATCACAGAAGGCCACGGGTTGGCAGACAGCCCCTGCCCTTGGTGAAGCCGTGCTGGCTGTGCCGTGCCACCCCTTCTTCCATGTGCCACAGCACAGCTTCCAGAAGGAGCTGCTCCACGATCTTCCCCAGCACAGAGGTGAGACTAACAGTTCAGTGGTTCTCTGTGTCATCCTTTCTATCCCTCTTAAAAATGGGTGTGATGTGCCCTTTATTCCAGTCACCAGGGACTTCAACTGGCCACCATAATCTTTCAAATACCACTGAGCATGGCTTGGTGACTACATCTGCCAGTTCCCTCAGGACTCTGGGATGTACTTCATAGGGACAATAGACCTGTAGATGTTCAGGTTCCTCAGGTGGACACGGACCTGTTTTTTGCTTACAGCAGGAGGGCCATTGCTTCTTCAGTCCCATCAGCTAGATCGATGTGTGAAGAGCAGTCACCAGCGGAGGCTGAGGCAAAAAGGCTGTTCAGCACCTCAGCCTTCTCTTTGTCTGTTGTTACCAGCCTGCCTGCATTGCTCACTGGGGGGAAAATACCCTTTTGCACATTCCTTTCTGATTGATGCACCTGTAGAAGCTGTTCTTGTTCTTCTCTGTACCCCTTGCCAAGTCCAGTTGGGCCTTGGCCTCCCTGACCCCAGCCCTATGCAGCCCAACAGCATCCCTGTACTCCTCCCACACTTCCACTTCCTGTGCATGTTCTTCTTGCTCTCAAGTTTGACAAGCAGCTCCTGGCTCAGCCATGCAGGTCTGTTGCCTTCCTTTCCTGACTTCCTACACCTCAGGATGAAGAGCTCCTGCACCCTGAGGAAAGCTTTCTTAAAGATCTGCCAGCTCTGCTCTGCTCCCTTGACCTCGAGGACAGATTCCCAGTGGGGGTTGTTGACAAATTCCCTGCAGAACTGGAATTTGGCTTTCCTAAAATTAAGCTTCCTGGTTTTACTCCTTGTCTGTACAATATCTCTCAGGAGTGTGAACTTCACCGTTGCTGCATTTGAGAAATAGCCATGAGCAGGTTGAGAGCTTGTGGATAAAACTGAGGGACCGAACTAACAAAGGACATCTGGTGGTTGGTTACGGGAAAAAATAAATAAAGCAGACAACAGAGCTGTGCTACTGAAACAGGATATTTGATAACTTCTAGAATCGTGGAATGGTGTGGGATGGATGGGAGCTTAAAGACAAGCCAGCCCCACCCATGGCCACAACCCTATCCATGGCCCTGGGCACCATGGGGATGGAGCACCGCAGCTCTGGGCAGCAGTGCCACTGCCTCACCGCCCTCATAAGGAAGAATTTATTCCTGATGTCTGATCTAAACATACAGTCTGATAGCTTAGAGCTGTTCCCCCTTGTCCTATCACTTAACTCCCTGACAAAGAGTCCCTCCCTGTTCTGCAGCCCCTTAATGAACTGGAAGGCCACAGTGAGGTCTACCCAGACTCTTCTCTTCCCCAGGCTGAACACCCCCAACTCTCAACCAGTCTCCATAGCAGAGGTGCTACGGAGTGCTCCAAACTCTGAGCATAGTGCCAGCTTGTGTTCAGTATTTAATCCAAGAGCCCCAAGTCCTTCTCATGGTTGCTCTCAATCCACCCACTGCCCAGCCTGCCTCTGTGCTTGGGATTGCCCTGACCAAGGTGCAGCACTACGCACCAGGCCTGGTTGAACCACAGGCAGTTCACAACACACCACTCTCAGCCCTCCCCAGGTCCCTCGGAATGGCATCCCTTCCTTCCATCAGTCACACCAGGCAACTTGATGTCATCAGAAATCATGGACTTGTGTGAAGACACAAAACCTACATAAGGACAAACAGATAATAACAGTGGATTGTTGCCCTCTATTCTGCCCTCGTGGGACCCAACCTGCAAATCTGTATCCAGATCTGGGACCCCCAAAACAAGAAAGATGTGGAGCAGGTCCAGAGGAGGCCATAAAGAGATGGGAGCACCTCTCCTAGAAAGGCAGACTGAGGGAGCAAGGGGGGTTCAGCCTGGAGAAGACTGCAGGGAGACCTCATTGGGGCCTTTCTGTACATAATGGAGCTTATAAATGGGAGGAAAAAAGACTTCTCATACGGGCAGATCACTACAGGACAAAGGGGAATGGCTTTAAACTAAAAGAGGGGAGATTTAGGTGGGATGGTAGGCAGGGATTCTTTACCCAGAGGTGATGAGGTGCTGGCACTGCCCAGAGCTGTGGTGCCCACCCCTGGAGGGGCCATGGCTGGGCCCCGGGCAGCCCGAGCTGTGGGGCAGCCAGCCCACGGCAGGGTGGGGCTGGGGGTCCGTTTCAATCCCAGCTATTCCATGATGCTCCGTGTGTGTCTCACCACCAAGGAAACGTGCTGCTTTGCTCCTTCCCCCACAGGCACCCACTCCTTTGAGATCCGCCCCAGCACCTGCATCCCCAAAGCCAAAGCGCTGGGAGCTGGGAAGTGAAAAATCGCCTCGTCCAAATTTCTGCATAAATCGGGGATAATTAATGAGATGAAACGGAAGGGCCGGGCTCCAGGAGCTGAAGCCGCGCCGCGCGCCAGGCTGGCACCAAAGGCAGCGCAGCCAGCGATCACGTGAGCTGCGGCACCACTCAAAATGGCGGCGCCCACACCGACTCTGTGTGTGTCCACCCCACTTCCGGTGGGCTGAGTGCTTCCGCTGGAGGCGGGACTATAACCGGAAGTGCGTATAAGGATGTATAGGGTGCAACCTAGCATCATGTGGCCTGCTTCCGGCGCGAGGCCTGCTTCCGGTGCGCAGCCTACTTCCGGTGACTGCCCGCCGGAAGTGCAGAATAGAGGCTCGCGAGGCCTTCACAGTTGTCACGGCCTCGCACATGGAGGTAGGATGTGGGACCCAGCGGAGTCAGGCGCTGCCAGGCCTGCTGTGCCCCTTGCACCCTGTGCCTCCTGGCTCCTCTGGCCTCTGCGCCTCGCTGCACCTCTTGCACAGCCTCGCTGCAACTCTACATGCCCCACATCTTGCCTTTCTTCCTGTGGTGTGGAGCTCAGGATTCCTGGAGCTCAGTCCCATCACCTGCAGAGCTCGGTGCAGACACTGCGGGTGGCCGGGCGAGTGGCTCTGGCTCTCAGGACACCGCTGACTGCATTGGAAACACAGGGGAGCCCTGGGCGGAGCACCTGGCTGGGGCATCATAGGGAGATCTACAGTCATCCCATGGCACGCAGGCTCCTGGGAAGCGCTGTTCACTGGTTCTTTGAACCTTGCCCAGCGTGGTTCCCGGGGGTGGAAATAATGTTTGGAAAGCAAAGCGTGTTTTAAATGCTCTGGGCACATTTCCAACAGTACAATGCTTGCTTTGCAGGAGCCCGTCACCTTTGAGGACATCGCCATCTACCTGAGCCGTGCAGAGTGGGACATGGTTGCAGAGGAGCAGAGGGAGCTGTACCGCAGCGTCATGCTGGACAACTATGAGCTCTTGGCATCACTGGGTAATGTGCAGCTTCAGCTTCTAGAGGGCTGCAGCAGGGGTAGGGAATTCCATCATGCTTGGATTCATTGGGATCTTGCTGCTCCCATTGCTTTAGGGATTAATCAGCTACAGAGCCAGGTAACCACCCTGAGCACCTGTAGTCCTGAAAGCTTCATGCTGGAAAAGCACAAGATTTGGGTGTTTTTCTGCTAGTGTTGGCTGCTTATGATAATATAACTGCAGTGACCTGCACACACCTCAGTGTCAGGCAAGGACCTGCCTTGGGCCACCACCTCAGTTTTCTTCCCTGGTTGCTGGCACAGGGATGCTATTTGTGAGTCAAGGAGTTGTAGAAGTAGCAGAGTAGGTACAGCCTGTAGGTGACAGACCCACTGTGAGGACAGCTGGCAGGAGTCACTCGGCCAGCAAATAGACCCAGAGATCATCAGCTTGTGATGGTGGTTGCTGTTTGCCTGCATAAGGGCCTGAGACAGGCCCTGGAGCACATCCTACACCCCAGGGCTGCTCCTGGGACAAGCTGCTGATCTCCATGGCTAAGGAGTGCTGCCAAGCACTGCCCTTTTCTATGGGGTGAATTTACTTGACAGCTGTGCTAGCTGTCTTCTTTCTCTTTTTTTTTTTTTTTTTTTCACTGTGGTTTCTACTCAGGCTTTTCTGACAGTGAAGCACAGCTTGAGGCATCAGAGACAATGTTTCATTTCCTGTTATTTCTATAGCCAATGTTTTGTAATAGAAGAACATTTATCTCTGCTTCACAGGGTACCCAGGCCCCAAACCTGACATTCTGCATCGGCTGGAGCGTGGGGAAGAGCCATGGGTCAACACACCACAGAGCCCAGTGAAGTGGGATGGACCTGACAGAACTTTTGGTGAGAAGTTGCAGTTCAGCTTCCTCAGTACTGCTTACCTGGGCAAGGAGCACATCCCAGGGTCCTCCTTCTATGTGGTTAGCACATCTCTGTGCTTTCCCCTTGCTCTCCTGTCCTGATCCCTTCTCTCCATGCTACCTGTATTGAGAGCAACTCCCGTATTTCCCTCTGGCCATGCAGCCCTTTTTTGCACTTGCTGATGATGGCTAATAAAGGCTGTCATCCCCTGCATGAGGGCTGTGGCTCAGCAGGGTTGTTGTAGATCTGCTGCTGCACCCAAGGAGGGTGCCCCCTCCCAGTGCCTATGAGTTGGGCAGTGGCTGCTGGCAGCAGATGGGAGCTACCCAGAGAGGCTGTGAGTCTGCTTGGGGATCTCCAACACCACTGTGATGTGGGGCTGGGCACCCTGCTCTGGGTGGCCCTGTTGAGGCTGTGGGGGAAACAGAGGGACTCAGAAGTGCCTCCAGCTTCAGCCAGGCTGTGATTTTGTAGGGCTTTTTCCTCCAGTTAGGTTGCTGTAGAACAGGAGGGCTTCTCCCATCGGGAAGGAACATCTTTCTGGTTTCCCTGCAGGATGCAGTGGGGGGAAGAGATGGCTGGCAGAGTCGTGCTCCAGCAGGTGGCTGAATGTTGACAAGCACAAAGTGCTGGAGGAGACACACACCCCCAGTCATGGTGAGTGCTGGTCCTGCCCCAGGCTCTGCAGCTAAGAGCTTGATGGAAGAAGGCAAACTGTCCTCCTCTCTCTAAACAGGAAAACAACGTGAGCCGTGGCTGCTGCGGTCCAGCAGACTGCTAAGGAAGTTCGGGTGTCTTGAGGGTAGGAGTGAGTTGCGGTCAGAGGCAGCCAGCATCCAGCCAGCGCCAGAGGGAAGCCAAGAGAAGGCACAGGTGGGCTGTTTGACCAGGAATTTAGAAACGGAGGATGAACAAGGGGTCAAGACAGAATTAGCACAAAGCATGGGAAATGTGGCTTCTTGCAAGCATCTGCACAATAACTGCATGGAGACATTTCAAGAGACTGTACAGAAACCACATAATGTTTTAGAGGAAGTAAGTGTTTTCCAGGCAAACAGGGGACAAGGGGAATCTTCTACTAAGGACCTGAGTGAAACTGTTCTGGAAGACCACTGTTACTGTGTGAGTAATAACCTGCGCTGCACTCAGTTTCCACATGCTCTGAGAGAACATGACTACTGCGGTAGCAGTGATAGCAGTGTCTCAGTGCTCAGAGACCACGAATACTGCCAGGTACAAAGGTTTTCTTCTCGGGACAGAGTCCGTAAAGTTGTTTGCCGTACTTGTAGGTTTCGTGCCATAGCTTACAGGCTGTCAAAGCGAAAATCCTACGTAGAGCGTATCATCTGGAAAGCTAAGCGGAGCGTGCGATTCCTCAAGCCCACCTTCAAAAATCTGCGGTTTTCTCGAGCTTTATTCTGCACAAAATGTCTTTTTCCTATGTCATCATCTGTTCCTCTGGCTAGGGCAGATGACTCCACGAAGGAAACTTCTGGGGCGTTTTGTCCTGCAGAGCAGGTGGCTGTGCCCCAACAGTCTCAGAAGAAAGAAGACTCCCAAGAGGTGACTGTGCTCCCACAGCCTGAGAAGGAGGACTCTCAGGAGGAGACATCAGAAGCACCCAGTGACCCTGCAGCACCTCTGGAATCAACAGCTGCGTCGCCACCCCTCAGTGAAGCTCAGGAGGTGCAGGGTGTAGCAGCACAACCCGAAGCACTTGTGCACCAAGGGATGCAAGAGGCAGAGTTGATCCACGAGCCTGACACTCATCAAAACACTGAAGGATACAAAATTGTTAATACAAGTTATGGATTGCTGCATGATGCTTATGAAATGGTCGTGTGGACTGTTGATCACATGCTGGAGTCTGCGTGCCAAGCATTTGAGCTTGGTGGCTATAATCGGTGCAAGGAAATGCGGCCTGTGATTACCCAGTCTGACACCTGACCACCAGAACGTTAGCAGCTGTGCCTGCTCTGTCATGCTGAACAGACAGAACCCTGCAGCAAAACCCACTAATGTGGCTAAGCAGGAAAAACTGAAAGGTGTACTAAGGGATCAGTGCACAAATGGATACTACCACATAAATGGATGCAAAACTTGGTTTGTAATGCCTGCTGTGATCACCTGGGAGGCTTCAGGGAAAAGCCAGAGGAAGAGAAGTGGGACTGGTGCAAGTAAAAGAGGAAGAAGCCCAGGAAAACTTACAAGAGATGGGAGAATAAGGGCAGCTGTGTGTTAGCAGGCTGCTGACTGGTTTACTTTCTGGCTGAGCTGTGTGTGATCACTGTGGACTTTCTCCTTGTTCAACCATTGCCACTTGTTTGTGTGAGCACATGCTCACATGTATGTCAGCATGCGAGCTGTGCTCGCTTGTCTGGGCTGGACTTGGCAGAAAGGAATCTCAGGGTGCTGTGCACAGCTCTGCCTTGGTGCAGGCAGTGTGTCCTGTCCTGGGCTCTCCCTCTCAAAATTTAAGCTTTTTGACCATAGGGGAATTCTTAAGATGGAATGATAATCTCTTTTTTTTTTTTAAAGAAACTGCATATCTCACTGTTGTGCAAGCAGGCGAGGATGTATTGTGTAAAGCCTTGCTGCATTCTCATGTGAAAACTATTGGAAAAAAAAAAACATTGGGAGTTTTGGGATGCAATGGGAGGTGAGGTTCTGATACTGGGATGGCTGAGAAGAGATGTTGGGGCTGCTTTGTGCCAATGCAGCCACATCTAGTGGCCCTGGCACGGGGCACGGCAGATCCCAGCAGCTGAGAAGGCAGTGCCTTTTAGTTGCTCTCTGTTCCTCACTACTCAACTGTATTTCCATCATCAATAAATGAATTTTCCCCCTTTTCTTGAGTGTAACCAGTGAGTGACATCTGTGCCTTACTTCCACTGTGGAGCTTTTCAAACACCTGATAGCCAAACTAAACCTGCCCTTGGAGCTCAAAGCCGTTTCCCTTCCTCTCACCACAGACCCTGCTGGAGAGTCTGTCCCCTCTCCTGTTGCTCTCCTTCAGACACTGAAGGCTGCCCTCAGGTCACCTCACAGCCTTCTCTTCTCCAGGCTGCACAGCCCAGGCTCCCTGCCTGCCTCACAGGAGAGCTGTTCCAGTGGGAGGCGCAGTCCCCGTGGCGGCACCAAGGAGCCGTGGGACACAGCAGTGCTGGGCACACGCTGTCAAGTGGGAAAATGGCCGAACTTGGCAGCTCCTGCAGCCTCTGAGGGCCAGGCCCAGCGCCTCGGCTCACATGGGGCACGGCGCCAATGCCGCAGGCTTCCGTCCAGAAATGGCGCCCGATCAACCCAACCTGCTACCGCCACAAAATGGCGCCCCCGAGAGCGACAGCCAATCGCGCTGCCGGCACCGAGTCACGTGGCTGCGCGGACTAGACGCGCGCGCCGCTGCATGGAGTTGTGGGTCTGAACATCACTTCCGGGTCACGGGGCGCGGCGTGCCTGAGGCGGTGCTGCGCCGGAAGTGCGTGTGAGGATGTTTACAAGGGCTCAGATCTCCTTCCGCCGTGGTTGCCGGGCTGCGGCGGGGCCCGGGGCCGCATCCGGCTGAGCGGCGCGGAGCCCTCGGCGGCCCACGGCCTCCCCCGCCCCGGCTGTGCCCACGAGTTTGCAAACGCCGTGACATCACCCAGCTTTGTATCAGAATGGCGCGCGAGCAATACAGTCTGCTCCGCTGACGGCGCCCGCGTGTGTGAATGCCGCAGCCGCCATTTTGGTGGCTGTTACCGCAGCAGCGCGATGCCGGTTCTGGTGCAGTGCGATCGCCGCCCTCTGGAGGGCATTTTGTAGCTCACCTCGCCAGCCCAGCAGTGCCGCGTTCCCAGCCGTTCTGCCCGTTCCCTCCCACATCCCATCTGTGCACACACACCTGGGGCAACTTCATTTGCTTTAGCAACCACAAACTCCCTAGAAATCCGTTCTTCCACGTGCGGGTCCTCAGCTGTCCGCTCCTCCATGACACAAAGTTGTTCTGTTTATTCAGTCAGCTTTGCTGGACTCCTCGTTGTCCTGCCGGTGGTTCTTCCCAAGTCTCAACCAGGCAGCTTGAGAGGTGGCCCGTCTGAACCTCGTGTTGTTCAACGAGGCCCAGTGCAACGTGCTGCCCTTGCGTCAGGGCAAACCCAGGCACGAGTAGAAGGCACCGAGAGCAGCCCTGCAGGGAAGGACTCGGGGGTTCTGTGGGAATGGAATGTTGTTTCTGCATTAGATATGAAGAAGGGCAATTGATCTGAAGAAGTAGAACGTGCTGTGTTTGTATCCTGTAACTTATCCTTAGAAGTAGTTGGTGTAAAAAGTGGGAGCACGGTACATGTTGGTAGCTTATCTTAGGAACATAGCTGCTGAATTATGCGATTCATTCTTTCTTGCAAAACTGCAATAGTTTTTAAATGTTCCAAACAATGCGAGCATAGTGTTAGGCACTAGAAAACATATTGTAGGGTTGTTCTGTTAGGATAGGAGACTCCCAGCAAAATAAAACAGATTTAACAAACATCAAAGAAGCCAGGGCCTCTACACAAGGCCGGACTGTCTCACTCTGTGGGAAGGTTGGGACAGGCAGGCATCCAGATACTCCCCTCTACCCTCCTTCCGAGCTTATCTCTATGCAAAGAAGGACAAGCAGATGTCCAGAAACAATGACCAAGTGTGGAGTAAGTGTTAGAAGTTAATTACATAATTAGAGGTTTATGCTTAGCCAGCAAAGATTTATGTTTATCCAGTATCTGTATGTTTAGTGAAGCGTCAAGAAGACTGTGAACCTGAAGTACTCATCCAACGAGGAACTAGGGGAGGAAGAGATAAGCATCGAGTAATAGGGCACAAAAGATGTAACACTGTTTTCTGGGCACTCTCCTGCTTACAGGAGGCCCGGCATTGCAACTGCAAATAAAATCTGCTTTATCAGAGATACCATCCTGATAAATTATTTGGATACTTCCAACAGTTATGATGGTACAAAGCTGCACATGATCCAGCAGTGTGCGCTCACAGCCCAGAGTGCCAACAGTGTCCTGGGCTGCATCAACAGAGGGGTGGCAGTGGGCAGGGAGGGGATTGGCCTCTGCTCTGCCCTCATGGGACCCCATCTGCAGTACTGCCTGCAGAGCTGGGGCCCCCAGTGCAGAGAGATATGAAGCTCTGGGAGCAGGTCCAGAGGGCCATGAAGATGCTCAGAGGCTGCAGCATATCTCCTGTGGAGAAAGTCTGAGGGATCCAGGAGTGTTCAGCCCGGAGAAGAGAAGACTCAAGGCAATATAGCAGCATTCTCTTGTCCTCCCCAGACCTCAAACCCAGCGTTCTCTATCAGGCAGATCGCGAGGAAGAGCCATGGGATTGTTGTAAATGTAGGTAAGCACGTATTGTGCAGAATGCTGCAGCCTTCCCCTTCCAAATCTTTCCAAAGCATCACTGCAGTAGAAGAGATAAAAAATCCTTTTACAAGTATGTCAGTGGTAAGAGAAGAACCAAGGAAAATTTCCATCCTTTACTTGATGCAGCTGGGAATGTAACCACTGAGGATAAGGAGAAGGCTGAGGTCCTCAACACCTTCTTTACTGGTGAGGCCGCACCTCGAGCACTGTGTTCAGTTTTGGGCTCCTCACTGCAAGAAAGACATTGAGGCCCTGGAGCGAAGGGCAACGAAATGGTGAGGGGTGTGGAGCACAAATATGAGGAGCGGCTGAGGGAGCTGGGATTGTTCAGTGTGGAGAAGAGGAGCTCAGGGCAGAACTCATTGCACTTTACAACTTCCTGAAGGGAGGCTGTGATGAGGAGGGGTTTGGCCTCTTCTCCCAGGCAATTGACTGGTGGTTGACTTGATGATCTTGCAGGTCATTTCCAACCTTGTGATTCTATGGTTCTATGATTCTATGGTTCTGTGATTCTAGGACTGCAGTACGTGCCATGGGAGATTTGCAGCCTCTGCGGCAGCCCTGCACTGATCACTGGTGCCTGGGGTCACAGGGACAGGGATGAGGTGGTGCAGAGGGACTGAAGGACACAGGAGGTGGAGTCCCAAGACACCACTCTGGGCAACCATCACCTTCCATCATCCAACCCCAGCGCTTGAGGTGGCAGAGGGGGAGCTGCCCCATGTCTTGCTCAGAGGGGAGCGGCCTCTTTGCACTCCTCCAGCCCCTCACTACTGCCCTCCCCAAGTGACTGACCGCAGTGGGAGGCCCCACAGAGAGCTGGCCAACAGCAGGGTCAAGGTCCAGGCAGAGGGAGCTCAGCAGCACCGGGCAGCCGAGCTGTGCCCCACGCAGCGCCATGAAGCTGGGGTTGCTCTGCGCCCTTGCCATGGCCCTTCTGGCCCTGGCCATGGCCGACCTCAAAGACTCCAAGAAGGGGAAAACGCTCACATGGAACAGAGAGGTTGGTCGTGGGTGAAGGGAAGGGTTCAAAGACAGCAAATAACGGTCAGGAAGGGAGGGAGGCTGTAGGGAGATGCCATGAGGAAGGGGACGGCCCCAAATGCGGTACAGCGCTGCAGGGGATGGCCAAAAATGCGGTACAGCGCTGCCCCCCTCACCGCACCCCAAGGGACGCCATCTGCTGTCACCAGCACCCTGCGCTGGGCAGGTGAGGGCCCTGGAAAGCTGCTGTCTCCATCCCGGTGCCCTGTGCTGCTCTGGGTAGGGGTGGCCCCGAGGATGGGCTAGGGGCAACAACATGTGGCCAAGCCCTTCACCCTGAGGGGCTGCGCTGTGGGGAGCCTGGAGCGTCCCAGGGCCCTTTGCTCCCCAAAGCACTGTGACCACTTGCACAACCAGCAAACATTTCATCAGGGCTTGGCAAGGGGCTGAGAAGGGGGAGGAGGGCTGCTCTCTGGGGTCCAGAAAGTTGTCATCCCCTCCTCTTCCTCCCCATCCTCCTCTTCTCTCTCCACCACCCCACTTGCTGCCGTGCAGCTCAGTTCTGCTCCAGTCCCACCATGGGAGAACAGCACCACACAGGTGCCAGTGCTCCTACCACAGCCCATGGTTGTCCCACTGCTCCGAGGGCCCCGCAGTGCCCCCACTCGGGTCCCCATGGGGAGCTGACTCCTTCCCTCTGCAGGCAGGGACGCGTGGTAGGGGCCGGCGCCGACCACACCAGCTGTGCTCGGGGTGCTTCTCTGTGCTGAGCGAGGTGAGAAAGGGGCCGGGGACAAAGGAGGGGGGGGGGGACCCACACACCCCAACACGGGGGCAGTGGGAGGCTCTGTCCATCCCCAGAGGCTCAGCTCTTGAGCGCCCCTTGAGAACCCCCCCAAGAGGAACACCGGGGGCACCCAAGACATGCTCCCCCCACATCACTCTGGACACCCCCTCTGCAGGAGTCCATCGCAATGTCCCGCAGCACTGGGGACGTGGATGAAGTTCAGGCAGGCAGGCAGGTAGGTGCAGGGACCCGCCATGCCACCGGCTTGGCTGGCAGACACAGCACCCCCTCCCCATTGCCCCACGGCTCTGACACTGCACTTCTTCCCGTGCTCTGCCCAGCAGCGCACCAGGAGGGGAGTTGAGAAACCTGCACAGCAACGCCGCAGACACTTCCCAGAGCCTGGGCAGGTAACAGTGCAGCAGGAACAGCATGTCACCTTGGTGACACCCGAGCCCCTGAAAGGGGACCCCTACAGGGACCCTGTGCCACGTCCCCACAGGTGTCATGCTGTGTCTTGCAGGACAGGAAAAGAGGAGCAGCGGTGGCCAAGCACAGGCCTGCGCCATGATGGAGCTGGGGATCCCAGCACCCCCTGACTGCACCGCAACCCTGAGGAGAGTCAGGGGGTCCTGCTGTGCCTCCCGCATGGTGGGGCTGCCCCGCCACCCCAGAGTGCTCCTGGAGGGCA